AAGCCTGCGCGTCGGAGGCGGCTGCTGGAAGCCCCCAGGTTCTCCCGATGCTCATTTTTTTTTTGCCTGTGTGAGATGCTTTTTAATGCTGTAATATAGCTAGACACAGGAAGAGATTGGCAGATGTCCCAAAAAGAGTGATGCTACCTCCATTTTACCCACTGGCATCTGCTTATCCATGTCCCAGGGACTGTCCTGAGCAGGAGCGCCCAGCCCCGTTGCTTTAGCAGAGCCTGGCGGGGTGTTGTGAGACCAGCCTGGCCGATGAAGCCCAGAGGGGTGACACAGCTGGTTTTCCCCTTCTGCTTCCCTCTGAAGTTTGGTTCTCCATCTCTCTGAGCATCACACTTTCTAAGACAGATGAGCTGCCTCCTGCAGCTTTTGTGGTCTTCTGGGCAGTAGTGGAGAGCGGTGGGGTGTGATGGCCATGTAGTTGCTCGTTACCAATGCCTGTCAATGCGTCCCGCCGTAGTGACACTGTACGGCGTGTTCACCAACCACTACTCTGCGAATGGCCCATCTCGCTGTCTGCTGCTGGAGCTGCTGGACATCAGCGTGTCAGAGCTGCTGCTGCACTCCAGCAACCAGGGCTGCTCCATGTGGATGATCCAGCACTGCGCCCGAGACGTTCTGGAAGCCCTGGCATTCATGCACCACAAAGGCTACGTGCACGCAGACCTCAAGCCACGCAACATCCTGTGGAGCGCAGAGGAGGAGTGCTTTAAGCTCATTGACTTTGGACTTAGCTTCAAAGAGGGGAATCAGGTTTGGAACATGCTGCTCTCAAGCAGTTGGCTCTGTGTTGTGTTGGTCTGTGATGCTTTTGGCTCATGAGTGTGGGACTCGACGTGACCTGATCAGACTGGTAGCTGAGCTGGTGCTGAGGGTTTCCTGGAACAGGCTAAAATGTTGTCTGGCCCTAGAAACAGAAGCTCGTGTTCCCATTCTCCTTGTGTGTCTCTGGTTTCTGTTTATGTCTCAGCCTTTGTGCTACACATGACCACGAATTCCAAAGTTAACGATACACTGATGAAAGTGGTGTCTCACCTTCCTGGAAAGTTTGCTAGTTTTTATGTGGTCAGATGAGTGGGAGCACCCAGATCTGTAGAATTTCCTTTTATCATCCCTTATCATATGTAGTAGTAATCCAGGGTTCTTCATCAGTCTCCCCAGTCAATTCCATTATCTCTGGCAGTGTCCTTGTGCTTGTCTTTACATTCATCCTGTCTTCAGTAGCTTCCCTTTTTCAGTACGTCTGGAATTTTCTTTCCCATGTCATTGTGTTGACAAAAGCCCGTACTCTGGCTGTGGGTAGGCAGCCAGGCAACCTTCCTTACTGACACGGACAGATCTCTGCCTGTTCTGCTCTGCTTTTCCCATTTGCTGGGCTTTGACTCCCTCTTCACGCTGTCACTTTTTTATTTTGGTGATACTGGGTTTTGTGAGTTTGTTCTTGCCTTTTTTAATTCTTTTCCATGGCCTCTAATTAAAGCAGAGAGCCTCAGGAGGTTCTGCTGTTGGCTTGATAAAGCTTCCTTTCACCCCTCCGTCTCGCAGTAATGCCTGTGAGGGGTATCAGTAAAGCTTTTTCATCAGGTAGCGTCTTAGCAAATTTGCCTTTAATCACTGGGTGATGGGCAGTAAGTCTAGTAAATGAGCTATGATTTTTCTGTGCAGACATTGTCCTGGCTTGTCCCTACTCCATGCACTCTACTAATTTAAAGGTTTTAAATTCATATACTTCTTTTACTGGTTTACCTGGTATTGACAGTACAGCCCACTGATCTGTGAATATCAGAGGACTGTGTGGGTGACCTGTCTCCGAATTCTTTGGTACAGGAGCTGTTTTTAATATTTGTACTTCTTAACTCCTCCATGTTGTTCTTCAGTTCTCCCACGTTCTTGGCTGAACGCTGGTTTGTGCTGCTAATCTGTTGCTGTCTATCAGCAAAAAACATTCTCTTGGTGTCCTGTGTCTAATGCAGATTTTTTTTTTTTAATTCAGGTCTGTGATTTACTGCTTGCTCTGTGAGTTGCCTCATAATAGTTGATCAGGTGTTTTATTTGCTTCTATGGTTCCTTCCAATCTGCTTACTGTGGGCTGAGTTTCCTTTGCCTGTTCTCAGAAAAATGCTGGCTATATGGATGAACCTTCTGACCCTGCTCTGAATGTGCACCGTGTATCAGCTTCCCTGCACCACCCCTGCCTTGGGCAGCAGCATACATACACAATTTCCTTATCTGAGCCAAGACTACACTACTTTTATTTGTGACAGCTCTGCCGAGCTAATCCTTGCATAACTTTTACTGCTGTTACTGTTTAACAGAGAATGGCTGTACATAGAGCAAGGTCTCAGCCACTTACATCTCTCAAAATGCTTTAGATGGTAGGAGGGAAATTCCATCTCACAGTTTTTGCTGGTGGCATTGACCACGGTGTTTTCTGTATCTAAGTGTTGTTTGAGGGGGCTGCTAAACTGCTGCTTCTGCCATGCTAGATGTTCTGCTCTTTGCTGATAGGAGGAGGGACACTGATGAGCAATTTGTGTATCTTTTTTTTTTTTTAAGTTCATAAAGCACTTTTGAGCTCTGTTGCCTGAAAATGTCTTTTATAAACTTTGTTTTCAATCAGAGAACCAGATAATTTTGGTTTGAATATATTCCCCTGGTAAGAATTCCCAGTCCTGCGCTTTATCCGGGAAGCAGGCTTGCATATTCTTCTGTCATTCCTTGAGTCACATTGGTGTATCTAAAACGAGCCTTCCCATGTTAAAAAGGCGCAGCATGCAGTTCGTCTTTGGACACTTAGAAGACTTGGCTAGACAAAGCCACAACTGACTGATCAGGTATTGGCTGTGGGCAGGAGGCTGGACCTTCAGAGCAGCCCCTCCAGCCAGCACCTCTGTGATTCTATAATTTCTTGTTTCCTTTTAAGCAGGCAGCGCACCGGCATTTTATTTTACTCTGCCAGCCGTGGCGGCCGGGCAGGTATTGATCGCTGCAGCACTTCTGGCTGCGAGGGGGAGAAGAGGTGTGTGGGAAGCGGCTTTGATAATTTCCTTGTCTGAGTGTTAGGTGCCTGCTTCATTCTTCCAACATTTTGTTCCAGAGAACATCAGTACTTGAGTAATGGCAGCTGTTAACTGATCCTCACTGTTCAGACCAGGCTGTTTGTGCTCTCATGCAGCCGCTGTGGCAGCATGTTGTAGGTGTTCAGTCCTTATCCTGAAAACTCTAGTGTCTTCTGCTCTTATGAGAGGTTAATGGGCCAGTCTGCAGTGACATCCAGACTCTTCTCCCAGCAGTGCTGCCTTTCAGAGAGATCAGATGTTAGTGGGATGCCTGCTGTTTTGCTGGGAGATGTTTTCTCTTCCAGACAGTCTTGGTTTTTTCCCTTATCACCACAGCAGAATAGTGAGTTAAACTGCCTGCCTAACACGACTGGCTGTACAATGCTTTCTGTTAATTTAGCAATAGTATTTTGGTGACCCATTTGGAAGGGGCCCTGTGGACTGATTTAAGGATAGAGCAGAGAACCTGAATTTGGAAAATTAACTTTTTGTGTTTGTTTGATCTTCTGTAGGATGTGAAATATATTCAAACAGACGGGTATCGGGCTCCAGAGGCAGAACTGCAGAACTGCCTGGCACAGGCAGGGCTCCAGAGTGAGACGGAGTGTACCTCTGCTGTGGATCTGTGGAGTCTGGGAATTGTTTTACTGGAAATGTTCTCAGGAATGAAACTGAAACATACAGTCCAATCTCAGGAATGGAAGGTGAGTGAGAGCTGCTGCAGACATTGTTGCTTGCACCAAGTGAGTCCTCCTACTTCTTGTTCATAACCTGGATTTGTGAGGTAGCACCTGGCAACTAGAGAGTGTTTCCAGGATGTTTCTCTAATCCTATTGCCTTGAGAATTAAGGTTCCAGAGTCTTAAAGACCTGCCTGCCCTGTGGGACTGGCATATCTGAATGCTGCCTGTGTTCAGGCTACTGAAAGCTGAGGGCTCCAGGAGTCTGTGTTTGGAGCCTGTGTCTTGCCAAGATTTGGGAGGTGAGTTACACTGGCTGTAGTGTGACACAGAAGGAAGAATGAAATGGATAGCTGATGGCTGCCAACTAGTTCAGCAGCACAATGACAGAGGAATTATTTGCTGGTTTTAGTCTAATATTAGTGCTAATCTGGGGATCTTCTTGTAAATCTATATCCTGAGAAAACAAGAAGAAAGCTCTGTGTTGTGAGCCTGGAGCCTGACTCTGTCCTCTGTTCCGTATGAAATAACTTTGTTTTGTGTTCCCCTTCCCAGTAAGAGTATCCTTTTAGCATCATAACGTCCACGGTAATGGCAAATATGCCCGCGCATGGAAATTTCCAGCTTTCACACAGGCGAATGGGAAAAACTTCATCTGACGTGGACCTGCTGGTTTAACGTGAGGCTGGAGCATTGAGGATCTCTCACAAAATGCCAGAGTACCAGAGCCCTCTGCATCCAGTCCAGAAAATGATGGGTTATTGCAAGCTTTGCACTGTTGTTTTTTTTTTTCTCCCTAAGCATTGTTTCGTTTTCTTTCCAGACAAACAGTTCTGCCATCATTGATCGCATATTTGCCAGTGAAGGGGTGGTAAATTCAGCCATTCCAGCTTATCACCTCAGAGACCTTATCAAAAGGTATCTTTCCATATTTAGTAACTGTTGCTTAAAGATGTGCTCTGTAAAGTCTCATGCCTTGCTCTTGATAACTTAGAGCCCACACCTAACACTTTTTTCCTTTTTTTTTCTTTTTTTAAAAAAATATCCCTGTCACTGTGCTAGTAACAAGTGCAAACGTTAGCAGAGATGCTTCAGGTCCTCTGATTTTGACACAGTTTGGAGTAAGCACATAAAGAATATCAGTCATGATGTTCATCATTTGCTGTTTCAGTGCTTTGCACTTCCTGCCAGTGAGGTTATATTTGGAGAAAACTGGAGACTTTGCTGCTTTAAGAGAGTGTTGTCAGAAACAAGAGAGGTGGGGCAGACAATGCTGCTTCTCCACTGTTGTCAAGATTCAAATGCACTTGTGCAGCTCTCTACTGAGAGGTCTGCCGACGGGATTGTTTTCGCTGTCCTGTGACTCTGCTCTGAGGCTACAGAGTGAATGAGGACACAACTTGGCAGAAGTAGCTTTGGGAGCCACTGGTAGAGCTGAGTAGGGGATGTTCTCAGGCAAGCCCTGGGCTATTAGCTGCTTTGAATCCCATTTGTGGAAAGATATGGGAGCTCCTCAGAGTGTGATCACTTTCATGAGACTGCATGTGTGCCTGAGACATGAGTGGCCTGGAGAGGTGGAGCTGGAACATGCAGTGTTCCTTGTGAACTTGTAAGTGAGCAACTTCCATCATTTGGTGCTGAGAGACACTGAGAAGGAAAGCCTACTGTATCATGTACTCAAAATGCTTTCAGGGGATCCTTTTGGTGTGCTTCAGCTGTGAACTGGAAGATGTGCTTCTCACTCTTCTCTTTGTACCATAAGCACCCCAAAGATGGGGTATTCCTCTGTACTGGCTTCCAGCCTGAGTTGAATTTGTCGATGCAGGAATGTCACATGCAAGAGCATAAGGGTGTCTTCTCTTCCAGCATGCTTCATTGTGACCAAGGAAAGCGAGCCTCCGCTGAGAAGGCTTTATGCAGCCCGTTCTTCAGCATTCCCTTTGGTAAGCTGTGCACATCGCCCCTGCTTACGATTTTCTCAGCATGTACTGGAAGCAGCACAGAATATAGTTAAATTGCATTGTTGCTGGTTCTGGCCTCATTGCCACTCCTTTGCTCTTTGCGGCGCTTGCCAGCCCTCTGCAGTACCGCAGCAGGCAGGTCCGAGCGATGCCTGTGCTCTCAGTGCTGCCCTGCAGGCTGTCACTTCTCCCTGGTTGGACTCCTGGTAAATTCTGCCCAGATCAAACTGACCAAGAGTGTATTGGTATTCATCTGAGGGGACAGAAATAACCACGGTACTTACCTAATATTGTGACCGTTAAGGTGCTTTTGAAGAGTGCAGTGCTATTTACAGCGAGTGGATGGTTTTTCTTATGCCAAGGGTTTCCCAGTTCAGAAGCCGGGAATGTCAGCGATGGGGGCAGTGGCTGGGTGTAGCATCTGCTGCTGCCTTCTCTGCGCTAGGTCGAATAATCCCAGTTGTGTTCTTGTGGTGCGAGCCTATTTTTGCAGTGACTGGCCTGCCTCTTCTGGGGTGTGTGTGGCAGGTCACAGACAGATGTCACTGTCGCTTTGATCTGGCACTTTCTCTTCAATTCAGTAAAATGGTTGTGTTTCCCTAGGACCACCCCCATGTGGGTTGCAGGCTGTCAGCAAAAGATGGGCTGAGACTGCCCTGTTTAGGCTTGTATCCCTCCCTGTTTTCTGTTCCAAAAGCAACACGGTAGCATTCTCCAGAGCTTGTCTGCTTTCAAGAACACCAGTGAAGAACTTTGTGTCCAGCTTTTCTGCAGCATAAATTAATGCTTCAGGCATCCAGCTTCTGGCTGGGCTAGCATTTTCCCTTGAATCTCAGCCCTGCTTTTCTTAAGCTGCTTGGTTTACCTTTCAGTGAAGGCTAAGTATTGCCTTTTGAGGTCTCAACAAGATACTGTCATTCCTGTGTATTAGGCAAGGGTAACAAACTTGTTCCTGTTTTCAAACTTCTCTTGCATCTTCAGAAGCTGGGACTGTTGTAATCAAAGCCACCGTCTGTGGAAGGAGCTGAACCTTGCAGCCAGTATTGCTTTAGAGCAGAGGGAATAGTATATTGGCAGTGCTTTCTGGTCTAGTTTTAAACACACAGACCTCTAACTGTACCTAGGAAGGTGCTTCTGTGGTTAGTGCTACAAGTTTATACAATAGCTTCAATTTTTCTTAGTTGCTGCTTCTCTTCTTTGCCAAACTTGTACATAAGCTTGTGTACACAAAGAAGCGTTTAGTGTTGCTTTCCTGAGAAGTCAAAAAATGGTCTGTCATTGCCTTTCACTTGGACAGGGTTGTTCTGTTTAGAGCAAAGACAGCTGAGAATGGCTTTCATTGTCATTTACAGCCAAGTCTTGACTTTCCAGTTCATCAACTTCTTTCCTGATCTGCTTGCAGGCTGCAGCCCTCTGTGTTGTCAGTGTGGTTGGTATCACCTGGCACTTTGAAGAGGAGCAGGGAGGCTGGGCAGAAAGTACCTCCTAGGGCAGAAGGGTATTTCAAGAAATTTGTCACTTGGTTACAGGAAGACCAGATGGCTCTGAGTCCCAGGGGTTGGTTTGCCTCCCTCTCTGAAAAAAGACATGCGAAATGAAGGACTTACTTGAATAAAAGGGGCAGCATATAAGACCGAGGCAACACTTAGATGTTCTTTCAGCCCCCGGTTCATCTGATGTTGTCTCTTGGTTGCCAGCAGTCCTGTGGAAGAATGGTCCCAGAGGTTTGCTTGGAGCTGGAACATGCCTGGTTATCTGAATGTAGCACCTTTCCTCGAAAGGCTGTCCCTGAGCGCTGTCTGGGCATCGTCTAGACTGATAAGGCCTTTCATCCTCTAAGCATTTCATAAGAACTCTTCCATGTCAGAAAGGAGATTTATAGCATGTGTGCTTGCCTGTCATCTACTCTTGCACTATGAAATCAACATCTTCTGTCTGTGCCTGGCAGAGATGTCAGCTCCCTCAAACGTATTGTGTGCTTAGCTTGGAAAAGTATTTCCAAGGAAATAATAGCCTACTATCTTTGCAAACATAGTCAGAAGGCTCAGACTGGAGAACTGGAGTAATTTCCTCCCTTTTCTCTCCTCTCTCTCACTGTCAAGTGTGAGAACTGAGAGGCACTGCTATTGTGCTTGGCTACTGTAGCTGCCAATACAAATAAAAACATTAACACTCTCCAAGTACTGCAAGCTGGGCTCCCAGATCTTAAATTCATGACTGGCCTGCCTGTCTCTTTCAGGAACATGAAATCTAGCTTTTGTCTCTGGAGAAGTGACGCTGTCCCTGCTGCTTTGAGTTTCTAGAGGACTGGGTGTCCTCTTGGACGTGGCTGTCATAGTTTGGCATTAGTCTGTCCACCTTGACTGTTTCCTTCTTCCACACTATTATACAAGCTACGCTGTTCCAGGCCGTCCTGGAGCTGCCTGTTTTTAGAGCCAGGTGCCCCATAGCAGTGAGCTTTATTTCTGCTCCTATAAAGTTGTTCATGGGATCAGTGCTTACCCACCTGGTGGCCACCCTCTTGTGGCCATGCCTTATTCTGTAGCACTGCATTGCTTAAGTAGCTAAGTAGTTATCCCCATTTCTGTTGCAAGATTGTATGGTGGTCTTCAAAACAATGCGTTGCAGTTGGATTTTGAAGGTGGGGGGGTTTACATGGTGTTTAGGGAAGAACTGAAAGATATTCTAGAGAGAGATAAGGCTTGTGCCTTAGTGTAGCTTAGGAATTGGAGTTATAGAAGCTGGCCAGCCTGTTTTCAGCTTGTCTGGTAGCAGTAACAGGACAGGCAGGTTGCAGAGTAGTTCTTTCATCTTCTTGTATCTCCAAATGTATCAGGCACTTGGCTCAACTAGCACAGCTCTTGAGGTCACATCAATTTCTGAGTCTGAGCTAAGCAGACATAACTCTAGTCTTAATTTCTGCTAGTGGTGTAATTTTAAAAGCAGTTTCAGGTGCTGGCCTCAGTATAATTGCAGGGTGCACTGAACCCTTTGGAAGAGTCTCTCAGTGCACAGGTTAAGATAAGTTAGACACAGGGAGAATACAAGCTGTAAATGCAGGTAATAATGGAGAGAAGCAAAACTGTACCACAAAGAGCAGTAAGTGCTTGTGTATGATTATGCATATTGAGTCAACTTCCTGTTTTCTTGCTCCTTTGGACTTTGATATCTTTTCTTTTCTCTAACTCCGTGGGTGTCAAACAGCTCCCCATATTGAAGATTTGGTGATGCTCCCCACACCTGTGCTGAGGCTGCTAAATGTTCTAAGCGATGCTTCTCTGCAGTGTGAAGAAGAATACGAAGGTTGGTGCAAGCCGTGCAATTCTCGCATAGCAATTTCGTCTTACAGGCTCTGTTTTGTTTGGCTTTGGGGATGCGAGAGCAAGCAGAAGAGCAATTAATAGGCGCAAGAACAGCAAACAAAGAGCTGCTCAGCTGAGATTTGGTACCAAGTGGGTCAACTGCACCAACAAAGAATAGACTAAAAGATTGAGACAGAAAGCAGAGCTTGTAGTGAGTTCTTGAAGGATCCCAGATTTAAAAAAAAAAAAAAAAAAGAAAAAAGATTTATTTTGATTTTTTGTCTTTGGTTAAATGCCCACAGACCTCATAATGTGTTTGTGGCTCTGAGCTTCGGCTGGATGTGTGGAGTACTCTGGAGCCCAGTAGCAGAGATCGTCAAAAGTTTGCTAGTGAACTTATCCAACATCTCAGGAGAGAACTGAAATATCTTGTTGGCATTCTTAACTGTAGCAAAAACTATACGTGGTAGGTGGCAAGGCATGTCGGTGGAATTTGCATTTCTGCTTGCTCTCAAATCCACATGAGTGGCAGAAGCTAGAGAGCTCTGGGGATATGAGTTTAAAAGGCTGGGTTCTGCTCACACAAAGAAGGGTTTGTGGCAGCTACTTCAGTTCCCCTCTTCCAAGCCCTGTAACCAAAAAAAAAAAGAAAGCACACACAAATCCCAAATGTTTTAGCTACTGGAAGGCCAGGCTTTGTGTGCAAGGAAAAGCACTGTCTGTGTGCTCCAAGCCCTGCTGTTGGGGATTCACTGCCTGGTCTGTGTTCTGAGCCTCAGTTCAGACACTTCATCTCGGCCATTAAGCAGTGTCAGCTTCTGCTGTGGCACCTCTTGATTGTTTATTTTAAATTGAGAGGAAAAGACTATCTGTTGACTGAATGTTCCTGATGTGTTCATCTGTCCTTCATTTGTTTCTTTGCTCATCCTGGTTTGCGAGGTGAAAGACAACCAGCTCTTTCCTTTCTCAGATATCCTGGAAGACATACGGGAGGAGTGTCAGAAATACGGACCGGTGGTTTCCTTGCTTATTCCAAAGGAGAATCCTGGTAAAGGCCAAGTAAGTGAATGGAGGGAAGGGCTGCGTATTCCCACATACGCTCCATGTGCTGCAGGACTGCTGCTGAGCTCCTGGAAATCTCCTGGCTGATGACCGTGCTAAAAATAGCTGGTTATCTTGAAGGACAGCACAGGTTCCTTCCTGGTTATGTAAGGTTACCTAACCTGGGAGGTCCCCAAACAGCTTTAGCAGAGGAGCTGGGATATGGGAGCAAAGGGGAGAAGCCAAATGGGTGGGAGAGGAGGTGTTGAGGATGTAGAGCATCATCATACTTTCTTCCACCTCACCAAATATGCTGCCCTTAGAAATTAGGAGCAAGAGGTGAAATTCCAGTTCAGAGGTGCAGCTCCTTCCTTTTTAGCTCCACTGCTCTGGGCTCAACCAAGGATAGAGGGGAAAAGTTTGTTCAGGAGCTGTTTTCCTGGTTGCAGGGGTAGGAGGGGGGCAGGTGGCATGCTGCACTGGAAGTCCTATTTCTCCTCTCTCTCTTTCAGGTCTTTGTTGAATATGCAAATGCTGGTGATTCCAAAGCTGCCCAAAAAATGCTGACTGGAAAGATTTTTGATGGCAAGTTTGTTGTGGCTACGTTTTACCCACTGAGTGCCTATAAGAGAGGATATCTGTACCAAAACTTGCTGTAGGCAGTAGCAACAATCAGGAGAGTTGTCTTGCTCCTCTTCCTCATGTGTTTTACAGTTGAATGTACAAAAGAGCTTCCTAGCCCTGCTTTTGAGTCATCTGTGAAGGAGAGATGCAAAGGACTTAACTGGGCTTTGAAACCTTTGCTGCTGCTTTGTGATGTGCAGAGGAGGCCGGGATGGCTTTCAGCGTGTGCTTGTGTGTGTGTTGTGCTTGCTCATTTACATTGGGTGTGTGGCTTTGCCCCAGCGAGCGCTTGGGTGGCAGGAGTGGTGACTGTGGGAGCCTGGGAGGCCGAGCAGATCTTGGCAAGCGCTTTTAAGTGATTTGAAATGAGACCGTTTACAGTCTTGGCCTTAGCACTTGACTTTGCTCTGGAGAGAGGATTTCTTTGTTAAGCTTTCCTATAATGTGTGTGCTCTTCTCCAGTGTGGAAGTGGAGGAGGAGGAAGGCTTCCCTGCCTTTTGTTGATATCTGTGGTAAATAACGAACCAGAACCGCCATCCTCTCTAAACTAGACCAGGAAGACTTTTGAGTCTTCACATCATGTAGAGCAGAGAGAGGCAGCGAAATGAGATCTGCTGAGCCTACGGTGTTACCCTGTCGCCACCCTGTGACCCGAGAAGAGCCATCCGTCTGACCTGGCACAGATGGCATGCTGGGCTTAGGCAGTGTGGGTGACGCTGCCTGTGGTGAGCAGAACTTGCTTGTATGCCTGGGGTGGGCAGGGACTGATGGCGGATACATGTCGTCAGAGCAGTGCCGGCCTCAGTCCCGACACAACCTGTAAGCACTTTGTAGCCTGAGGTGATGTGAAAACCCTGTCGTGTGGAGTCATCTTTCTAGCATATACCCTGTGCTGGCACTGATGCTCCCTAGCTCTGATGCCAAATCATCTGTAATACGTAAGCGTCTTTAGGTGATATTTTAGGAAAGGAGTGCTACAGCACGTGGTGTTCTTTGTGTCTCAGCAGGACTCCTGCCCTGCGAGTCTTACAAGAAAGAACAAATATTTGTCTGTTGTAGGTCCCATGCTTGGCTTTTCTGTGTTGTGCATTTTGGTTTTGCATTAACCCATTAGACTTGCAGATTAGAAGCACTGACACTTTTGGTCCTTCATAGGTTACACAAAGGGCCTGAGGCAATCTGAGATCCTGTATAGAAAGGGCTCGCTCAGTCATCAGACTTGACTGGCCAGGAGAAGGTCTTTCCCAGTGTCAGGGACAACAGCCACATGCTTTTGCAGGACGGGGGCCGGGGGGGAACCTGGGTGAGCAGCGTCACTGCTCCCTCCAGAGCAAGCTCTTTGCTCATGTGGCTGTAATGCATGGGCAGAAGCTCGCTCAGGCAGCTGCTGGTGTGGGGTAGGAGGTGGCTGTTTCACAGAGGTGTGCAAACCCATACAGCCAGCAGAGCCTCTCCCTGCAAGGGTGGGCACATTGCTCCTGGTGAGCACAGCACGAAACAGCCCTACTTAGAGGGGGACCAGCGTATTCTGGCTTGCAGCCCTGGTACCAGTTTTAGTGAGGAGGAGAGCCCTTGTGAATTCTTTTCTCCAGCTGAAATACTTGCGGGCAGCTGCCTGAACCGTCTCTGACCTTCCCTGGAATAATACCTGAATTACCTTGCAGTTTACTTTTTGCATCTTGCTGATGCTGGACTTGCTGGAATCCTGCACTTAAAAGTTCCTCTTGATTTTTGCCTTGTGTGTGTGTGTGTGTGGTGTGTCAGGAGATCCAATGTCTGTGGCATTTCACAAGTCCGAGCTCCTCTCTGTGCTGGTGTAGAGTCCTGTCTACTGTGGCCCTTCCCAAACTCCCCCAGAAAGGACCAATCTCTTTGAATTTTTCTGTTGCCTTTGAGGTGGTAGGTTTTCCAGGAAAATAAAATATCCCACAGTGAGTTTTAAGGTGTGATTTGCTGATCAGACTTTCTGGGAATGATGCTACTTCGGTGTACATAGCTGTAAAGCAGCTTTGCATAGATGAGGTGTGTGATTCATTGCTTTTAATTTAACTGTCCTTGCAGTGAAGCACCTTTAGTGTCTGGGAGGAATTGGATGATTAACTGGGTGAGGGTTTTTCCTATGTGAAGAGCAGTCTTTAAAGTACTCTTAAGTATTGGTAGGCATTGACTGACCTCCTCAGCTCTGAGTTGTTGCTGTCCCTGGCAGGCTGAGCCAGGGGTGAAAGCACTTTGGCCCAGAAATTCGTGTGTTGAATGCCATCACGTCAGCAGCATTAAGCTGTGTCTGCCTGTTGGCTGGCAGAAGCAGACCCGAGAGCTCCTGCCCCGCTGAGTGCCAGCCCGTGTGGGGACGTGGGGAGTTCCCCTTGGTGCAGGGTGTGAGGTCTGTCACCTGCAGCAGTACCGGGACAGGGAGATGCCAGGGTGCAGGTGCAGAACTTAAAGGCATTTATGTTCTCACATGCATTTGTCTAGGACTGTGAGCTGCTCTGTCATCTTTCAAGCATATATCTTTTCCAGTCAGAATTGTGCTTTGGATTTGCAGCTAAAGGTAAAGAGCCATGCCAGGATTAGTCTTTAGAGAGGAGCTACAACCTGTTCCTGCAGCATGTTAGAGCTGTTCCACCAGAGTTTGGCTGGGGTTTTTTTCAGTTGCTTTAATAGGAGCTAAATAAATCTTCAAGATGCAAACTCCTGCCACAAGTTTTTCTCTCCGGATGCTCATTGACCAGGCTTGAGCACTGAGCTGGGCAAAAACCCCAAAGCTGCTTTTTTTTGTTTTCCTCCTGGCAAGAGTTGAAGATGCTGATCTCTGTCCTGTCACTGGATCCAGCCCCTGGCTTCCCTCTGCAGGCTGTGGGGTACAGGGAGGTCTAGAAACTCCTCAGAGCAGAAGCATTTTATCGTTATCCCTCACCCTCTGCCTTCAAAGCCTTTTTCTGTCAAGCTGAAGCTCACTCTGGTGTCTCAGCAAGCTATTGGTGGTGTGGCATAAGTTTCAGCCCTGCTAAAACCTGTGAGTTTCTTAACTCTAGATTGTATCTGAAGTGTGCATGGTGATTCAATCCAAGGCATCTGTCGCGGTGTGTGCCTGAATGGGCCTGGCTTTTCTCATCTCCAAACTACTGACTGCTTGCGTTGCCAGAAGTGTTGAGGCTTTCTGCTCAGAGGCTCACTGGGTTTCTTGATCTGTGCTGCTGACACAGCTCCCTCCAAACAGCCCTCGGTGTAGCACTGACCTACGTAGTCCTAGCTAGGTGACAGCTGGACGTGAAAACCCGCAGGCTGCCTTTGAGGGAGAGATCTACTTTGGGGTGGGAAGGGATGAAAGATGAAGCCTCTGGAGACGGCCAGGGAAGGCTGGCACTGCTCCGGTGGGATGCCAGGGCAGGCATCTGTCCGTGCTCCCTGGGAGGAGGCAGTCCAGGGGGCTGCATCCCCTTGGAGCGCGTGTGTGAACAGGCAATGTGTTGGTGCTCAGCTATTCCTTGGTGGTGTTTGGGTTTCATAGCTGATCTGACATGAAATGTCACTGCCAGTCGAAGAATAGCTGTCCTTCTGCCATTGATGTCTCTGTGGGAGCAATGAGGGAGAAAGTTCTTTACAGTTCCACCTATTTATTATATACAATGAGGGTAACTGGTTTTTAAATCACTGGTCGAAGCACAAATCGGCTCCAATCTTAGTTCCATTCCTGATTTTTATTCTCACTGGTCTCCAGCCTCCTAATAACATAGCCTTAGCACCGCGTTGCATCCAGGTTGTCTTTCCAGAGCGTTCAGTATGCTTCCTCCCGCTGTGCCGGATCCTGTAACCACCTGCCTCCCTGCGGGTTAGATGTCAACTGTTGTGTCCCGTCACGCACCATTGCTGAGCAGATGTGTGCTTGGTACAGATGATTAATAAATGATGCTTCAGTATGAAGCAGTTGTCCGTCATGCTTTTCTTGTGGGACCGCCGGTGAAATGCCACGTAGCTGAGCAAGTTCTGAGCACCAGGGCGTCTGTCCGGGGGGGGAACAGGGCTGTGACCCAGCCACGGTGCCATGGGGCGCCTTGTGCTTGGCAGCCGTGGGCATGCGGTTGCCCCTTGCTCAGTCCCACCAGCGCGGCTGAAAATCCCGGTGGGAGCGCCGGGGTGACCTTGGCCTGGCCAAGAGCCCGCCGTGTCCCCTCCGCGTCGCTTGGAGCTGCGCCTCCTGCGCCATCATGGGCGCTTTCCACGCTCGCTCCGGTGTAACGGTTTCTGAAGTGATATCATCCGCAGGGAGAAACGCCCGTCGGCTGACGAAGGCCGCTCCCCGGGGAGATGCTGTGAGTTGCCCAACTTTCTGCGGCTCTGGGCGGTGCGCGGCTGCAGCTGGAGCCAGGAGAGGGGGTGCGTGGGGTGAGGCGGCGGCGGGGTGAGCGGGTTTTTGGCTGCAGCCCGCGCTGATGTTACCACACGCTTCCCTAATTGCGGGGCAACGGATCGCTGC